GCCTTCACCCACTCCATTGTCTTCTTCAGAAAAGCTTTTAGCCTTTGAAGGTGAGCCACTCAAGGAAGAAGAAAGTACAAGATACAGGAGTGCTGTTGGAGCCTTGCAATATCTGACACTTACAAGGCCAGACATACCATTTGCAGTCAATAAGGTTTGTCAGTATTTGCATGCACCTACTTCTGCACATTGGACAGCTGTAAAAAGGATTGTCAGGTATATCAAACACACTGCGAGCCTTGGGTTACAATTCAGACGTTCTAGCTCTACTCTTGTGAGTGCCTTCTCTGATGCTGATTGGGTAGGATGTAGTGATGACAGGAGATCAACTGGAGGATTTGTTGTATTCTTTGGCTCTAATCTTATCTCCTGGAGTGCTAGAAAACAAGCTACAATGTCGAGGTCAAGTACTGAGACTGAGTACAAGTCACTAGCAAATACAACTGCTGAGATTATCTGGGTTGAATCACTGCTTAATGAGTTAGGTGTTAAACAACACCGTGTCTCATGTCTTTGGTGTGATAACTTGGGAGCCACCTATCTCTCTGCTAACCCTGTCTTTCATGGTCGAACTAAGCACATTGAAATTGATTTTCACTTTGTAAGAGAAAGAGTTGCAGAGAAGAAGCTGGATATCAGATTCATTCCATCAAAAGATCAAGTAGCAGACGGGTTCACCAAGGCATTGCCAGCTCGACCATTTGAAGAGTTCAAGAGAAATATCAACCTAGGATAGTTGAGATTAAGGGAGGGTGTTAGAGTTTATCTGTATTACGTTTGTAATCTCAACTAAACCTCTGTCTCTCTTATCCCGTAGCATATCTTAACCACCGAATCCAAGAGATTGGTAGGACTCAACTTGTACTCCAAGCTTGGCCTTGTGCCCAATCAATATAAACCCGACGCGGCTCCCTTACGAGGGAGTAGAAACGCTTCCTGACAAATATTAACTAAATAGCCATGATTATCCAAGGAATGAATACAAATTATTCAAAATCATCAAGGTGAGTTGTGGCAACCTAGCTAGTAGGAAAATATTATAAAACATATGAAGTTAAGTCCTGTGGAATAGGTCGTCCACGAGCTCTCTGTGTGCATGCCATGAACAATCCATCTAAGGAAAGAAACAATAAAGAAAAATAATTAACACTACACCAAACATATGTAGCCGATACAACTCACTAGCTTTATGTCAATATGCCAATAAGTTCAAAAATAAATAGGTGAGGAAAAAGGGTATGCATATGCAGTTATATGTTACCTCAGATCGATGATGGCATCAATTTGTTGTGAATCATCAGTGAAAATCAAAAGCGTAATATCACACATCCATGAGAGGTCCAGAAGTTGGAGATGGACTAATAAGGTCGATCGGAAAGGCCACGGAAGCTCGAGGACTTTTGCACGCCTCTGGCCAGTCGTCTCCGGCCGCGACCGGCATACATGATTATCTCTCATCTCCTCCAGTGTTTCTTTGCATGCTTCAGGCAAAGACAAGATGTAATCCTCCTTGGATAACAACTCTTTGAGAAGGTGTCTACGCCATCGTCAGGCAACAGATCTAGTGCGCACAGGGTCGATGCCACTATCGCAGCAATACCCCCTGTCATCCGACCAGTCACTCGCATCCAGCATCTAGGTTCAATCGTCACAACAACCCGTGTGTCATCCGACCAGCCACTCGCATCCACCATGTAGGTTCAATCATCGCAACAACTTGTACTCCAAGCTTGGCCTTGATGCTGCTGAGGCGCTCCTACAGCACTTCTGAGCGCAGGCGTTGTTGGCGCAACCTCCATGGCGACGCATTGCCGGACCTGCAGAGGGCAGGGGAGGAGAAACGTGTGCTCACACGATTTGCAGCGGCAGAGAATTTTTTTTTTTTTTTGAAACGGAGGCAAAAGATTTGCCTCATCGATTAATTAAGCGGCAGAGAAATAAGAAAAGCACATGCGTGCGGACAGTTGGGCCTGAACGCAATGGCCATGAACACCTTGCCATCGTCAAGGCCACGAACAAAAACACGGTCATGGCGACGGTGTTGTCAACTTGTCATACATGAGGTACATAGACTAGGCCTGCCACCCGAGCTCACCAATCAGCCATAGGTTGTGAAGCTCGTGCCGTCGTGCGTGACATTGGACCTCCTCGGCAACTCGTGGCTCACGCCCCGTGCCCGTGGACAGCCGCAGCGACTTCAATACACCACCGCGAGCAGATCAGAATAGTTACACATCCCAGCGAACACAACATCGCTAGAAATTGTCCCCACCGTGGACCAAGAGCAGGCGGAGGCGGTCAGCGGACTCCATGCTCGGCCAGGGCGTCGGCCGCATGGTCAGTGAGCTGCTCCATGCGTAGCCTTTCCATCCTGTCATGGCGCGAGAAAGCACGGTACGCGGCCGCGCTGCTCTTGTCGATGTGGCGGCGAGGGTAAGAGAAAGTCGCTGGCAGCAACAGCCAACAGCTCTGGCGCCTTCGCACCGACGCCGCACTTCCGTGCGGTAGCAGACCATTTTCTGCCTGCTATCGTCGGGGAAGCCGATGATACTACGACTTGGACGGGGCTCGGGCGAGAAGGGGAGATTGAGGAAGAAGATAAATTATGACATGTAGGCCCATGAGGACAGTGAGAGAAACGGTCGATCCCGATCTGGATTGTGCTTTCAAACAAGTATAGGATTAGTGCAGGTTTTAGATTAACCTGAATCAATAAGTACAGGGTATGGACTTCAAGGATTTAGATATGGAGGTCTATTTGCGTTATGCTCTACAACCTCAAGGTTTAAAGCAGACTTCACTCGAGGGCCGCTGCCACGACGCGAGGGGGTTCTCACCACCGTACGCCGAGCGAGTTCGGCTCCACCCCGACACCTATCAGATCCAGCAACTCACAAGATATGAGCTGCGCCACGCCGTGGGAGGTTGCCGCCCCGACCAACGTCTTCCCATACCTTCCCATTATCAAAGTTTAATAATGTACTCCCTCAGTTTTTAAATATAAGTTTTTTTAGAGATTCCAATATGAATTACATACGGAGCAAAATGAATGAATCTACACTTTAAAGTATGTCTATATACATCCGTATGTAGTCTATATACACAAATGAACTAGAGTCGACAATGCAGCGTTGGCATGTCAAAAGGTTGGTCTCAAATATGAACACCACTCGTCCTGTACTATTTCAGACTTCCCATCAAAGACATGAGACACAACTATCTTGTGGCAACCATGTTATTACGTAGGGCAACTATGATGCATAACAAAAACAAGCAAGCATGCATGAACAAGTCCAAGTTATATCTCAAATAAGCAACGAACCGACCGACGCACCAAATCCAGTTCATGCACATTACATATCTGCATATATACACACTGGGTGGCTCTTATTTGTGCAAGTGGACATGATACAACATGCCGCCGTTTACAGTTCTGAAACGCGGATTGCATAGCATGGTGAACTTCATTTCCAAAGATGGGCATTGCTCGGTGCGGAGGTAGACTTGTTTTGCAGCCTGCATGATGACTTTCGGCAACAAATTCTCCCCGACTGGCAACGTGCAAACGCTCTCCATGTCCATGCATACATAGAAAGAGTAGTTTCTCTACAGGCACAGAGCTAGGGCAGCGTGCACGCTACAAGAACCTGACCCAAGGACGCGCACACCAGGCCGGATGAGGTTGAAGCCGGTGACTAATTTTCTGAACTCCAACAGCATTGCTCTAACATATGCTGCACAATCAAAATGGATTCTCTATAATTAATGCCATCAACTTTCTACAAAAGTACCAGCAACAATGTGCAAGAATAAGAACGCCATATTTTAGCTGTTTCTATGAGCTTTAGAGACTGCTACGATATGCTTTTTCATATCCTGCGCGTATTACAACCCCTGAGCCCTGACTCTGGTTCATTAATTATAAGATAGGTTGTTGATTCTAATGAAGAAAGACTTCCAAATAAATTATTGGTTTCACCCTGGATTATTAAATTAAGTAGATGATCGCAGGCCCGTACTGCTTTTCAGTCTAGCCTGAATGAATGCTGCGTTGGTTGCTGCTAGAATTTTCCAGATTAATATCTAAGGGTCTACAAATTTCCATATTAGTCAGAAGAAGGAGAAACATGTGCACCCTTTATTTCAGTGGGTCACAATTCTTATAGTACAGATTCGCCAGTTGGGAGGTGATGTCTGTATTATAATTTCTAAATGGTTACAACTTTATGGTACAATCTGCCTGAAGAATTGCATGGGACTACACGCCTAGTTATTTCAGAAACAACAGTCAGAATTAGTAAGGCAAATACCAAATGTAGTTTGTTACATTTTTTCCTAATTTTTTTCTGTCAAAACTAGAATCAGTCATTGTAAAGAAAAAATTTAAGGCCTCCTTTGGTTCATAGGATAGGAATATTATAGGAATAGGAACTTCATAGGAAGTGGGATGACATGCATCTCAATTCCTATAAAAAAAGAGATGCCATTTGATGCATAGGATAGGAATTTTTTCATTGAGTCTAGGCTAATGTTTTTTTCCCTTTGTATTGTGAAGGATTGGACCCTATCCTACGTAGGATTAGGAATCCATTCCTACAAACCAAAGGGCTTCATAGGAATTTTTCCTTTGAAAATCCTATCCTATGAAATTCCTACAAGATTCCTACAAACCAAAGGAGGCCTAAATGTGAAAAGAAGAAACAACACTAAGCGAAAATGCAGTGTTAACTGACTGAACAAGCAGCACAGAAAGTCGGATGGGAACTCGATTCTAGTATATCAATTTGAAGCATTTCGGTTATTCCCAACAGTAATGCTTGAGAAGAAAAAATTCCACAAATCAAGAGAAAATTGATCTCCGCTGTTTATTTGGTACATCCATTACCATTGTAGACAGATGTGACCTACCTTTGACCCTCGAATGCAACTCTTCTTTTCCGAAAATATACTGAAATTGTGTTGTACTACCTCTGCTCCTAAATGTAAGACGTTTTTGCAGTTCAATTTGAACTGCAAAAAAAAAAGGTCTTACATGTAGGAAGGGAGGTACTATTGTAGCACATGCAGCTAGTTTCGCAGATGCTGCTGCATAACTGAATTTTGTGAATCTATGTCCTGTCTCAGCTGAAATGGACCGTAACTGAAGACAAAGAAGCACACAAACTTACACATAAGTAATATAACTGGCAGGTTCCTCACCTTGCAGATGGAAGCATCACACTGTTCCCAACACTGGACAGCTCGGATGCGGCCTGAGTGGGTTCTGAAACTATTGTTTTCTTTAAGGCTGAATTGGGTTTCTTCATTGAATTTGATTGGACTGGACGTATTATGCATTCATTCTGCAACATATTCCGCGTTAACTGAACTTGACTGAACTCAATGGAGGGTCCCTTCTTACGTATTGGTCCATCTGCCGCCACATATTTCACAGAAGACCGGGCTTCGCTTGGATCAATCCGTCTGAGAAACAGAACCTTTGGCCTCTTAGGATGCTTCTTTGCTGTAGTTTCCCACATTTCTACTGCTTCCATACTGACCATCGAATCAAGAGCGACTTCCTCAAGGCAATCATGGTATTCAATCTTAATGCCTGAAAGATCAGCAAGATCTTTACAGAGCAGCTGAAGTGACACAAGATACGGCAGAGCTCCTTTTCCAATTGTCGGGAGGACCGGTGATTGCACGACAAGACATAAGCGTCGCAGGCTTGGGAAATCTCCACTTTTTACTATGAATGTCCTAAGGTCAGCTTCAACAAGTTTGAGGTAAAGCAGGTAGCGAAGCTTACACAGGTCTGATAGATCATTCCCCACCAGATTAGTTGATGAAAGGCACAACTCCGTGAGGCCACACAAGGATGTAACAAACTGAGGCAGTATGCTCAGCCTGCCCCGCAGTTTCAGCGAGCTGAGATAACAATATTCTTGTATAGAACCCAGGAAGTCCCCCATGGAATTTCCAAAGTCAAGTGACAGAGATCGAACGCCTGTAGTGTCCATACCATCCTGAGCAAACTTCTGAACTGCCTTCAAAATGTGAGGCAAGTTCTTGCTGTCTGCACCAGCAGTGGACTCACACCATATCTTAACCTTCTTTAATTCGTTCATATGAGCCATCAGTTGTAGAAATCCAGGGTTTTCGTCTGCAACAAATCCTGCAAGAGTCTTCAACTTACATTTTTTGGGCAAGAGCTTCTCCAGTTCACTCATTTTCAGGTCCTTTTTCCCAAGCTTAAACTTTCCAAGCAGGTGAGCTAGGTGAGGCAACCCAATGACTTCCGATGGCAATATCTCTATCTTGGTCTTCCTCAGGTCAAGTGTCTCTAAGCAGTGTAACTTGTCAATATTCCTTGGAAGGTTGCTGACAGTGGCCCCAAGGCTGAGATATTTCAGATGCCACAGCTTATGTATGTCCTTGAGATGATCATCCTCCAAATCGTTGCATTCTTGCAGATCCAACACCCGCAGCAGCCACACCTACAAAAGTCTGAGGCAGCTTCTTCCACATTCCCAAAGATTGTCAGAGACCGTGCACGGAATTTTTCACCTCCAGATACACTGTCACTTGCTGGACTTGTATGCTGGTGGTTCAGGCCCACGGTGCTGCCACTTGCAGGGTTTTGGATGAACAGGTGACGGGACTTACTTCGATTTTGATCGCGGAGAGACGTGACGAAGTTATCAGACATGGACTTGTGCAGCATGAACTCGTGCATGATACCATGAGTGTCTTCACTTTCGTGTTGTTGCCAGCATCGATCGGTCGGATGATATTCCGGTCAACAAGTTCCCGGAAGTTCTCATCTGCTACCTCCAGGTCACTGCGTTTATACTGACATTGCACATACCCTTCTGCCAACCATCGCCTGATCAAAGTGTTCCTCCTGATTGGACAACCATTTGGGAACAGACTTGTGTACAGCAAGGAGGTCCTGAGAGGATAGCCAGACAGGCTTGTGTAGTTATTCACAAGAACCTGTTGCAGTTTTGTAAAGTCTGCATCCTTTTCCCTATGAAGCCCGAGGTTGCGGCAAACTTGCGCACAGTGGCTCCCCGTGAGCTCGTTCTCGCCTAGCAAAAACTTGGCCACACTAACAAGAGCGAGTGGAAGGCCGTCACATTTCTCAACGATCGCTGTCGAGCCCCGCTCCAATTCAGGTGAACATCCTTGGAAGAAGACTTTCTTCATTAGCAGAACCTTGGAGAGTTCGGCATCGAGAATGCTCATCTTGTAAACATAGCCACCACCTGAGCTGCAAGCATTAGCTACTGACTGAAGAGATGTTGTTACAATGACTCTGCTTTTTGTTTCCGTGTGGAAGATGGATTTTATGGCGTCCCAGTGTTGCTTGTTGATGTCATCGATTACGATCAAACACCTGGCAAACAAATTGACGAAAATTTAAGTTATTAAACACTATCTGTTGATATAAATTTGCTATATATATGCAGATAAAACATACAGAAACTAGTGCAGAAATGCAGAAGATCCTCACTCTGTGGTCCGCAGGAAGCCATCGATGGAGTTTTGGTCGGCGTGGAACTGTCGGAGTATGGCCGTGAGGAGCCCCTCGGCGTCCCTGTGCTCCGACGCGGCGGCCCAGGCGCGGCAGGGGAACCTCTGGACGACGGCGCCGCAGTCGAACACCGCCCTCGCCAGCGTGGTCTTCCCGGAGCCGCCGAATCCCACGATGGAGATCACGCCCGACCTCCCCGGCTCGCTCTCCAGCAAGAGCTCCACGAGCTCCTGCCTCGGCTTGTCGATGCCCACGAGGTCGCCGTCGGCGGCGGCCGTGGGAGGAGGCAGAGGAGGGCCCGCCGCCGGCCTGGACTATGGTGCTTGCGCCGGTGCGAGCAACAGTAGGACGACCGCGACAAGCAGCAGTGGCTGCTCCCCCGCCATGGCTGACACAGAATGGGACGAGCAGAGCAGAGGAGATTAGTCAGACAAGTCTACTGTGCCAACTACTCCCCAGAATTTATTATTTGATTTGATTATAAAAATCAGGCATCGTTTCAATGATTCGACCAAAGCTGGTAGAGTAAGAGCAACTTCAACAGGCCGACCAGACGGGTGATGATTTTTATCCGTTTGGATCGGCCAGATGGACACAGATGCCCGCTTCGGCATTTGGGTCGGCGCCTGCGTCCAATACTGGCCTGAGACCCATTTTGACGGCGCCAAAAAATGAACGCATGCATATTAAAAAAAAGAAATAGCATTAATTAAACATTAAAGCCGAGAGTCCACGCGTCCACACTTGCATTTAAAAAAATAGGCTAAACTACGAGGCGGCGCGCTGCCTTTGGGCGTCGTCGTCGTCCTTGGGGTCCGTGAGGTTGATGAGCGTCGGCGCCAGCCCGGTCCAGGCGAACGCCGTGTTCCAGAGCGCCGCCATGTCGGGCTGTGCCGGCGCAGGC